AGTTATTATAAAAAAAAAAAAATAATTATTTTATATATATAAAAAAAGGTAATTATCTTATATATATAAAAGAAATATTTAAGCCTAGGATTTTTACTTAAATATATATTTTAATTATATAATTAATAAGTTTTATATTAGTATAAAGCCCCTTTATTAGCCTTTACGATCTGTTAGGCCTTTTCTGTGTAATATCGACGCCGCCTCCTGGTCAGGCACTCCGAGCATTTGGTCGCACAAATGTAGGCCAATCAGAAATGCAGACGTCTCTTCTTCACTGCTCCATTCATCTCGACGACGCGTGTTAGTCACGCACCCAGGACATCTAGTAGCACAAGAATAGGCCAGTCATGGATGCAGGCGTCTTCTCTTGACACATGGAAATTGTGCTCCATAAGCACCCTGGATTTACTATATAACAGGCGCGATGGCTGGTCTTCTGACCCGAATCTACCATTCCTTTACAATTCTTAAAGCTGATTTTGGGCAAAATCTCTATTATTGTTCTCTACGCCAATGCTCAATATGAGTGCCTCCTCCGGAGAGTCACTGCAAATCATCAACACGGTGGAAATAGGAACCGGTTCGTTTCCGCAATTCACAAAACTTCCCCCGGAGATTCGTTCTATGATATGGACGCAATCACTCTGTCATGAACGCTTTATTCGAGTGGAACTTTTGCTGGGAAGAAGTCCTCAAGACCTGTTGGACGAGAATCGACCAGACTACTATGCTCAACTAGATGCGCGTATTATCCAAGAACTGGACGCTCGGTCACATCACCGTGCTCGCCTTGACCGGGAGAATAGCTTCCTGGTTGTCTTGAGAAACAGGCATGAAATAAGCAAGCTCTTCCGGGTTTGCTCCGAGTCGCGACAAAGTGCCATGGGTTTCTATCGTGTTAAAGTGCCTTGCTATTATAAGCAGCTGGGCGAATATCCGACCGAAGGTACATTCTATTTCAATCCGGAGCTGGACTTTTTGGATATTGATGGGTTGAAATTTCTTCCCAGATTCGCCAACACGCTATTGGCTAATGATCCCCGGCATGTCGGACTCATCAACCTAGGGAGTGTATGGGGTCATGCTACGGAATGCTACGATCCTTTGTTTCAGCCGATCGAGGGCGACGAGCATCTTGTACGTCAGCTTCTGTCAAGACTTCGTCGTGTCATCTTCGGCTACAATGGACACTTTGGACGTAGTGTTCATAGTCGTCTGGCTCAGAAGTACGGATTGAAGCCTCAGTTACATCGGTCCAGACCCATACTAGCCTCTGTCTCCAAATTTCAGAGGTTGCCACAGGATCCCAGGTCAGTTGAAGCAGAGTTGACCAAGACTTTGTTGGGCTTGGCGGATCCACGAGACCAGATGTACCGCTGGTACAGGCTCTTGGAGCACTGGCAAATCGAGTATCCAAATCATCGTATCGATTATCGTTATATGATTACTGTTAACAATACACGGGTGACGGACCGAGAGGAAGCACTTTTTGCGCTCAGAGAAGAGAAGGAGGAATGGAATAGGTGCCGGGAGGCGTATATGGCCGACGGGGTACCCTGCGAGGAAGACGATGATGAACTTGCTTCAGCCTATGGGTTCTGGCTCTTTCCCATATCTGCATTCGGGCGCATCCCAAAGGCCAATGACCGGATCCGCCATATTGGTGGAACTCGTCTCAATAGTCGGCCCAGAGTTTGGAAGTTTGGGAAGGCATGGGATGTATCGAAGGAGTCGCCCGAACTCTGCCTGCAATACCTCCCCGAGGTACCATTGTCAGAGCCCAAGAACAATCGGACTAGCAGGCTATGGAGGTCACCAAAACATCGTCCAAGCATGAGAGACCGATTCCATATGTCTGTTTATAGCCCTGTATAGCCGATTATACTTTTATTATTACTAGACTCTTCTAGTAGTTTATATTAGTTATAAAGAATTATTAATTATAGTATTTTTTATTATTTATAAAAAGAACTTTAAATAAAAATAATATTATAATACTTTCTTATATATTATAATACTTTCTTATATATTATAATACTTTCTTATATATTATAATACTTTCTTATATATTATAATACTTTCTTATATATTATAATACTTTCTTATATATTATAATACTTTCTTATATATTATAATACTTTCTTATATATTATAATACTTTCTTATATATTATAATACTTTCTTATATATTATAATACTTTCTTATATATTATAATACTTTCTTATATATTATAATACTTTCTTATATATTATAATACTTTCTTATATATTATAATACTTTCTTATATATTATAATACTTTCTTATATATTATAATACTTTCTTATATATTATAATACTTTCTTATATATTATAATACTTTCTTATATATTATAATACTTTCTTATATATTATAATACTTTCTTATATATTATAATACTTTCTTATATATTATAATACTTTCTTATATATTATAATACTTTCTTATATATTATAATACTTTCTTATATATTATAATACTTTCTTATATATTATAATACTTTCTTATATATTATAATACTTTCTTATATATTATAATACTTTCTTATATATTATAATACTTTCTTATATATTATAATACTTTCTTATATATTATAATACTTTCTTATATATTATAATACTTTCTTATATATTATAATACTTTCTTATATATTATAATACTTTCTTAAAGGGAACCTTTATACCTACAGCTCTTAGCCGGTTTTCTGTCTTATCTGTGCAACTATCAGGCCCCTTATCGGTGAAAATCCTTTGTTGGGCTTCGAGTTGTTGGGCCCTGTCCGTGCAACACGAATCGAATCTTTAACGAATTACTAGAGTTCTAGCGTTTGAACATTGAGCTCTTTGGTATGCATTAATACCAAGAAGCTTGATTGAAGTAAACTGAATCAGTCAATCTGGGTCATAGTTATTTAGAGCTATGCCTTGTCCTAGTCAGCTACATCTATTGAGAATAGCAGGTTTGGGCCATCTTCGATCATGAGTCTGCAGTATACCATTGAGCTCCGCGTCCACGCCCTGTTCCTCCTCGTTATCCCAATGCGATTCAAAACGAATCAATACTTTGCCCAAAGGCATGGAGCATTTCTCTGATAGTTCTGACATGGCTCCGGCTCCGAGAATAACCAACGCGTACATCCGGTTGTGGACAGGATGGCCTTTTGCGGATTTGAAGGCATCGTATAACTTGGGTAGTACGGCCTCACAGTCTGGGACAACTCAAGATGATGTCTGCACACTAAGAGACCTGGTCATTTCATGAGCCGCATTGGCCGGCTTCCAGAAGACTAGAGGGTCCTTGAGCATTGCTAAAGAGGAGGCTTCTGCCAACATTCCAAAATTGGCGGCCAAGAATTCCGACGCGACCTGCAATCGGTAATTGATGAGGAGTTTCTCGTTCCATTGCGAAAGGTCAGCCGCCCATGATGCAATCTGGTCCCCCAGATGCTCCCGAAGTCTGGCAATTGTCTCCTCTTTCGTCAGGAGGCTCGCAATGCGGAACGCACAGACGGGCTCGGCGTCATCCAACTCGTAGTAAAACTTGAACGATGGCGAAATGTCCAGAGGCAAATTTTGCGTCTTGTCCATGAGACTAGATGTCACGCAGACCGCCACCTGCTCCTTGTTGAGGCGAATGTTGCACCACGTGGTCACCTTTGGCTCATCAATCAACCGCAAACGTATTTCGGTGGCAACTCCTGCTCCGGCTGCGGCACCACCACGCAACGCATATAAAAGTCTTGGGTGGCTGTGCTCATCCACGCTGACGATAGATCCATCCCATAGGACAACACGTCCGCCGATGACAGATTGACAACCGAGTCCATAACGCCGAGTCAACATTAAGTCCCATCCAGCCGTAGTGAAATGTCCACCTACTCCGACACCAAAGCAATCCCCGTGGGGGACTGCCTTGTGGTGCGTGGCGAGAGTGTGCATGACCTGACCGAGCAAGCAGCCCGGCTCAAGCACCAGTGTACCATTCGAAATATATTGGTTGGTCATGGCTCCCAGGTTCAGTAGGATGACGGGATGAGAGCTTGGATCCCGGTGCAAGTATCCATGGCCGCCACTCTTGATTGTAATGGTGAATCCATCGTAAAGCTTGAGCTCCTGGAGCAACTTGACAGTTTGGCAAACTCCCCATTCGCTCCGCGGTGATACCACAGCTGCAGGAATCACGGCTCCCGTGTCATGCATCATGGCTTCGAGCGGAAGAGCATCTCCATTGACATGCTCTGCTTGAATTCCTCTCTGTTTGAGAGTCGATATAAAGCATGCTAAATCGCTATTCGTCCTATCGCCGTTGTCATTCATGATTGCACAATCGGGTTTGAGGCTTGGGTAGGCTTGGCCGTCCATGGTAGGAAGTTATGGTGAAAGAGTTGTTGCGTTGTGCCACTCCAAATAGCCGCGCGTGCTCAGCGTCGCACTGAAGAGGCATTCATTCTATTCTGGGGAATTGTTGAACTGTATGTATTATTGACAGGCTAGGAAACTTTGCAAAGGCTTATTCGGGTCCAGTGTACCTGTGACAAGGGCTCAACAGGGCTTAGAGCAAATAGCTCAATTCATCTAATAACAGTATTGAGTATGAAAGGTCCTTGGTTTTCCTTAAGGCCTCGTTGACCAAAGACGTCTTTAAATACAAGAAGTCGGTGAGGGACTTAGCCCTCGGTCCCGTGATTGTACCCCTTGTGTAACCAAGGCCATTTCCGTGTGACTGTAACTACGTATGTCTTGCCCCCACCCGAACACGAACAGCTCCCATGTCAATCCCATATATTAATTGCATTTAGACCTCATGATATATTTTGGCTAGACGTAGAATAAAATTGTAGTGTAGAGTCTTATTCAGGTGTCAACGGATGCGGAAGTCGCCGGATATGGCGAATAGCTGTAACAGCTAAGTAGTGATAACTGCAAAATAACCGCCTTCCTTTGAATAGATAAGTAGAAGAAATCAAGGAGCTAGTTTATTGAATATATATTTATAGCTACTTGTTATAATATCAACTATAGAACTGAACACACCACTTGTGCTACAAGTAAAAGGTATAATTGAAGAGAATATAGTAAAGTATAGCATATTTAGCTCAACTAGATTTTTAGCCGTATATTTTAACCCTAGTATTTATAAGTATATTAAATGTAAATGTAATTGGTATTATATTTTATAATATAATTAAATATTTTGTAATATATTTAAATATATTATAAATATATTCAGCCTTTTCTGTGCAAGACGTGTCTGGCGTAAAATCCGCAGGTGACAAAACAAGGGCAATGTTTTTTGAAATCTATTTTTTAAGTTACATGATGAAGCGTCATCATAACATGTTATACTTTTCTTGACTAGGTTGTAACAGTTCTTATAGTATAGAATTCGCCATCACCTTTACTACCAGATTACTTTTCATTATGCGCAGGTGCGTTCTAGAAACGAAACGTGGACAAATATTAAATTCTACTGTCTTAAAACAGTTCCATCGCTAAACGTCCTTCTCTCTAATGCCTCCGCATCTATTCTAGATACAGGCCAAGTAGACACAGTCCAGTGCTATTCTGAGCGGGAGCCCTCTATGCGTAAAAGTGACGACGTGTCCTTCCATTACCCTTTGGCTTGGGCTTAGGCTTGGGCTTGGTGCCAGTGCTAGGGTTGTCGTCATCATCACCACCTTGCCCCGGATGGTCCTCCCCGTCTCCCTGGGTAGGTGGCCTAGCCGGCCTGCCAGGTCTCGCACTCGGATGCTTGGGTCCTGTTCATCGTGGGATGTGCCTGGCTTTTTACTCTGAGAAGGATGCTTGGGCGGCGGCTTGACCTGGCCTGGATCGGAAGCTCCTGGATCCGATTCATTATCAGCCGGCGTGGGTGACTGCGTGACTGCAACCTTTCCGACCGCCTTTGGCTGCCTCCAGTTGAACGGTGTTGTGTCCAGGTCGGCGGCAACCTTGCCATCGGTCAACACGTTGAGGTCCTTGACCAATCTGTTGCAGCCCCAGTTGTCCTATACTTTCTGTGAATACCTGTTCTAAACGCGTTTCAGGGGTCGAGAATATACCTACACCGTCACCGCAAGGGGGTTGAATGATGTACTCCTCGCCATTGGGGCCCGGCCTCTTCAGCTTCATGATGGCGATAATTCGAGCTCCAGATCCGCCTTGCGGGCTCTTAAATACGCCGGAATTCTCCTTGTGGATCCGTGAACAGTGTCTGGTGAATTGACTTTTGATGGCGGTGCTTGGTTCATGCGCGACGCTTGGTTTCGAGTAGATAATCCGGCTGCGCTCTGCTTTAAAGTTGCAGTCTCGCGCCTTGCAGCCTTTAATATAAACTCAACTTCCATATAATAAACTACGCCGCTCTACCTTGGGAAGTATAAAAGTAGCGCTAAAAGACGTTACATCCGTCCATTCTACGAACCCTACCAACGTTTTATTCTTTATTGGTTTCTGCTTCCCCTAATCCTCCAGGTTTATTTTCATCTGCCCCTGTGCCTCCTCCTCATGAATCGGTGCACAACAGATCCGGCCAATTGTCCGACAAACTTTGAAAAGATGGCCGTGGTGCAACTTGGAGACTGGCCGAGTGAGCTGATAATCTCTCTGCTAGGCTTGCTTCCCTTGACAGACTTGCTCTCCATGGGCAGGGTCAATAAATATATGCGCAACGTGGCCGAACCGCTCGTCTACTCAACCATCGAGATCACCTGGGCTTTACGCAGCACGCCGCCTGCTATGTTGCTGTTGCCAACCATTCTTGACAGACCCGACCTAGCTGGCCATGTCCGCACGCTGCGCCTCCAAGGAGACGGGTTCGAAAATCACCCTGAAGTCCGGGAACCGCCCGCATTTCCTGCCAGCCCGCTTCTTCTGGACAAGGCAACCAAGTTTATTCAGTCTACGGGGGTGCCATTTGCCAAATCTTGGATAGGCGAGCTGCAACTCGGCACCGCGGATGCCATTGTGGCTGCCCTCCTGGCATCCATGCCTAATTTAATGACTTTGTATCTCGGTCCAAACTTTACCATCAAGAGCCGGCTTTGGGGAGGCGTGCTTCGATGCGCTCTTTGCCAGCCAAAAGAATACCAGTTACCTACCTTTACGCAGCTCCGTCATGTCACGTCCGAGTACAGAGCCAAAGAATGGCACCACCGCGATATCGCCAACACGGCCGACGTCCTTCCCTTCTTTTACCTCCCCAACGTTGAGCACCTGTCCGTTTCTATTGACAACCCAGCTCAATTTGCGTGGCCGTCAGATCCGCCCGCCCCGTCGTCAATAGTGTCCCTGGATCTGTATAGGCTGCGAGAATCGCGACTGGCCCCCGTCCTCTCCGTCCTTAGGGGACTCCAGAAGCTACACTGGAACTGGCTATACCAGCCAGATCTCGATGAAAACGTTAGTCAAGATGTCGTTGAACTTGATACGGCAGCTGCTGCGCTCAGCTACGTTCGAGATACACTTACAGACCTGACGATCCGGGCCATAACACGCCCTAGGATATCAGTCGGCGATTACGACCCTCCCTCGTTAGAAATTCAAGCCTCCTTGGACGGCATTTCTAGCTTTAGTAAGCTTATAAGACTATGCGTCCCTTGGGTCTTCTTGATGGGGTTTTCGCCATCCTTGAGTAAGAAACTTTTAAATGCTCTCCCTTTACATCTTGAATTCCTTGATTTGGCCGCAGATTTAGACGATCACGAGGAATGGGAATGGGACGATGACTCCGTTCTAGATGCGGTGAGGTCCGAGTTAGCGGGTCGAGCTTTATCTTCGAGACCCCATCTCCGTCAGATTACTCTGCCTATTCCGCTTGGTTTTGGCGATTTATCTAGTGAACAAAAGAAGAAGCTAGGGGATATTAGCGCAAGTGCGGGAGTAAAACTGGCATGGATTGATAAATGAGTAACACGGCTTTGTTACACTTGTGCTAAATTTTTCAGCACAAATGGGATTACATATGTCAAGTATAATGCAGACGCATGTAGAGCCACTTATAATTGTGACGGTACAAGGGCACG